TCTTCCCCCAAGACTTCAGGAGGTGCAGAGGGGAGAACGCACTGCTTCTGCCCAAAACAGGACCCTCAGGGCCGGCCACACACAGCCCTGGGGACCACTGGTGGGACTGGCCTCTCATCAGAATCAACGGAAGCTTTGAGAGCCCTGACACGGTCAGGCTCCATGCCACCCTCCTCATGGTCCAATGCCCAGAGAGGGCGACACAGGTTCAGCTGAGACCCCTGGGGCCTAGGAACAGGGTGGCCAGACAAGGACTGTGACCACATGCCACTGGACATAGCGCCTCCACCATGTGCACCATGGCACCTTGGCCAGGGAACAGGCAATGACCAGAGGTGTGCAGAGTGACCTTGGCTGTGAGGGCAGCACTTAGCATGTCCTCTACTTCTAAGACAGAACCCTCTGTCCTAGATAGCACCTCAAATGCCTCCAAGCACCTGTTCTCCTGACCTACAATTATAATAAATTCTCTTCATGGAAATCCCAAAACACAGTCTCAATTATCAGCAGTTCTTGAAAACGGCTGGCTCTGATGCAGCCCTGTCACCGACAGACAGACGTGCCTAGCCTCTCTCTGGGACAGGGGTCTGATCAAGTACACCGCCTTTCTACCTGCCAAAGCCACTCCCCCTGCCCCGCTCCCCCCGGGCAGTGGCCACACTGAGGCATACCTGACCGCTGGCCCAGGTGGCCAAGCCTGCAGCAGAGCCCAGCAGGCGCCTGGGAGGGCAGGGGGTGTGGGGTCCTGCCAGGTCAGCACCCCTGAAGTGCACGCAGCTGCCCGATGAGCTCCAAGGGCCTGTGCCCTACTGAGGGGCGCCTGAGCAGCCTGCACTCTCCCCAGCCAGTGACCTGCACACTCGAAGCTCCGGAGCAGGGGCACATGGGGCAGGTGGCTCTGGAAGGCACACAGGTGATCCCAGTGACACAGTCTTAGGAAAGACCAGCCACCTGTCCAGAGCACTGGGCAACCCACACCTGAAACCGTGTGCTGGAGCCCCAGCCAGAGCGACCACAGCGGAGAAAACTAGGGCTCTGTGGACTGGGGCAGCCAGGGTATGCAACTGCTCTTCCAAGGGCAGCCCGCAGGGGCAGCCCTCGGTGGGTGGGGCTCTGGTGCAGCTTGCGGACCTCCAGGAAGAGCCCCTGCACCCAGACCCCTCTACCTGCCCGCAAGCCCACTGGGCTGTGTGACCCAGGCCCCTGGTGAGGGCTCCTGCAGAGTTCGAAGGGGCCCCTGGGGCACAGAAGTCTCCAAAAGAGCAGGGGCAGGTCACTGACCGTGCCTGATGCCCAGCTCCAAGGGGCCCACAGCTGGGCTCACTCCTGCCTCCTTGGTCAGCTTGAAGATGTGAACCGGGTCAGAGTCCCACCTCCTATGCCACAGCCGCAGTGTGGTGACACCTGCATCTCCTGGCTCTTCAGGGCCGGAGACAATCGCTGACGCCCCCAGGACCCACCAAGGCACACCCAAGAGGAGGCAGGGCACAGAGGCAGTGAACAGGCAGGTCCTGTGAGGCAGGCTCTGAGGCAGGGCCCGGAGCTCCGGCCTGGGCGGGCCCCAGCTGCCCCCACAGCCGGCGCTCAGCGGCGAGGTGCTCACAGCTGCTGGGCAGCCCGCCTGGGAGCTGGGCTGGCCGCTCTGGGAAGGGAGAAACAGGAAGGGGAGTCCTGCCTTCCTCCCAGAAAGGGCATCTCAAACAAGCCACTTCCGGTGACTGCCAGGCTTCAAGGAGGCAGGCCTAGCCCAGGGAAACAGTGTGGAGGGCAGGAGCTGCCCCAGTGGAAGGCGCCCAGGTCCCCTGCTCCAGTGGCCACACCTCAGGCGGAGGTGAGATCCTGGTTCCTGGCTAGGTGTGCAGAGGCTCAGACAGAAGGAACAGCCTCAGCTGCCAGCGGGCCCAGCATCCCCACAAAGCCACCAGGCAGGTTGGAAACACCCCCGCTGGACAGGCAGCCAGGGTGCGGCCCCAGCTCGGAGCACACCAAGTACCCCGTTCCCTCTGGCACGACCTGGCCTCGGGGGCTCCATGCCACTGAGGAGCAGGCCACGCACGACAGACGAGCCTCTGCTTCCACCCTCAAGCAAGCAACTGAAACAACAGCTCGCGCTGGCTGCCACTGTGTGACCCCCATGCTGGGTGCCGAGGGGCACACACGCTGGACGCAGGACCCAGCCCTCCCCAGAGGGAGCTCGGTCACTCGGGAAGAACCAGCACAGGAAAACCTCTGGGTGGCCAAGGGTCAAAGAGGGAAGGAAGGTGGGTCTGGAAGGCAAAAGACAGAGGAGGGCTGGCGGAGAGGGAGGGCTCCCTGGGCCTGCCTGCCGGTGCTCGGAGCAGGGAGAAGGGCGGCAGCGCCCCACCGCACCAACGGCTGCGTGCACCTGGGGCTCGCCATGACCGCACCTGTACGGGCAGAGCAGGCCCAAACCCAAAGCCAAAGCCAAACCCCGACCCCAAATCCATCTGGGCCCAGGTGGGGACAGGCCAGCCAGCAGTGGGGGAAGAGCCGGGAGGTGGCTCAGCTAGAGCCCAAGGGAGGAGAGTCGCTGGCAGAGCAGACAGTAGGGGTGGTGGTGGGGGTGGGGGTGTGATAAGGGGTGGCTGGACCTTGCTGGGTTGGCAAGGCTGTGCTAAGGAGACAGGGCCCTGGGGATCCTTGGTGGCGGGATGACCCTGAGACTTAGGAAGAAAAATTGGCTTCAGACATGTTGAAGTAGAGGCCACAGGAGGCCAAGGGGAACATGGCTGGCCTCGCCAGACCGGACAACTGCTGGGAGACCTCTCTGCGAGGAAGACAGCCTCCAAACACCTGTACGGAAGGACGAGGGTTCGAGGAGCCTGTGCTGCATCCCCTTCAGCCCTGCATGGCCGAGGAAGCAAACGCTGCTCTCTGGGATCTGCAGGCCTGGGGCCTAGGGTGTGGGAGGGAGCGTGGCGTGGGAGGTCGGGCTGGCCTGGCAACACTGGCACTGGGCAGAGGGGACCGGAGGGATGACAAAGGGTGGACGCCTGGGAAGGAGACAGCACTGTCTCTGTGACGCAGCAGTCCTGTGTGCCTGCCACTGAGTAGGGGCGAGTACGTCCAAGCCACCGGCTGCATTCATGCTCCCTCCACCCAGCCCTGCTCTTTTCCCAGCCACAAGGTGCGCCGGCCAGGGTCCTGGCCACACCTCTACCAGTTAGCTGCAGACCGCTGCAGAGCGAACCACCGCTGCCAGCCAGCCAGGGCAGGGAGAGCACCTGCGTTACGGCCATGAAAAGGAGCGAAGCACCGACACACTACAACATGGGTGAGCCTGGGGAACTTCACACGAAATGCAAGCAGCCAGATGCAAAAGGCCCAGACGGGAGCTGCACAGACAGGTGGGAGATTGGCGATTGTTTCTGGGCAGGTAGCAAATGCGAGTGACTGCTGGCGGGCTTTCTTTCCCGGGTGCTGAGAAGGCTCTGAAATGGGCTGTGGAGACAGGTACACAACTCCGACACTCAGAGCCTGGGCCTCGCTCTTTAAGTGGCTGAACTGTATGGTATGGGAGCCCAATCCCAACAACGTGCCGCCAAAGGAGGGGCACCTCGAGGAGGGGGCGCAGGCTCCCAGCCCTTCCTGGCAGGCAGCGGAGCCCCCGGCAGGCTGACAGGCCGGCTGTGGAAAGAGCCCTAAGCGGAGGACACCTGCCCTCAGGGTGCTACTGTGTCCAGAGCAGCAGGGGCACCGTTTGCCAGCCAAGCCTTTCAGGAAGCAAATGGCAGAACGTATCAAGGGTGGCACAAAGAGACAAGACAGCAATGCAGGAGCCTCTGAGCCTCGCAAACACATGCCTGGCTGCAGGACCTGCTCCTGGGACTCAGGCTCCCTGCGGCAGCACCTCAGAGCTGGGTGGGAAGGCCGGCGGAAGGCCATGGGCACGGCTGGCCCAGGTAGGAAGGCACCGGAGACAGGCAGGAGCTGGATCAGTGCAGCTCCGTACAAGATGCACCAGAGGCGGGGGCCTGGGAGCAGTGCCCTGCTGGCTGCAGGCGCATCCTGCCCCCGGCACCGCCGGGCTGCTCCCTACACAGGCACCATCCCATCTGTCCTGCCAGGCACTCCTGCACCAGGGGTGTCCTTGAACAGGGGCACAGTGGGCGGGACACATGCAGCGGGCGACTCGCCCACGGCAGGTCCGGCCGCAGGCCCTGCGAGGCAGCAGTGTCCCAGCACCACAGGGCCTGTGTACCCACATGTGGGTCTCTAGGCTTGCCAACCTGACAGCTGGCGGGAAGGGCTCTGCAAGGGGAGGCGTTGACCCCTAGTGTCACACCCACGCCCCCCCTCCAGGTGCTTTGCCAAGTTTCCACCCTTGACTGGCTTGGGGCTGTTTTCTGATGTTTCCTATACTAACGCCCCATGTCCTGACTCTAGTCTCCCCCTTGTCTGAGTTAGGCGTGACCTCTGAGAACCGCAGCTCTGGGCCTGATCTGTGTCAGCCAGCCGTGGTTCTGGAGAATCAGGGCCTCAGGGCCATGCCATCCGGAATCTTTGCCCTGTTCAGCACATATGCCTCCAGTGATGGGCAAGCTGGTGAGAGAAGCCACACCAGGGCTGGTCCCTGCCGTGCCCTCCAGTGCCATCTGCCTCACACTGCAGGGCTGTTGGGATGCTTGGCCGGCTGGCGTCTGCCTGCCCTGAGGCTCCAAGCCCCGTCCTGGGGGCGGATGGTTGGAAGTTAATTACAGAAACAGTCTGGGGTCTGTCTGAGGTGGGAATCCCGAAGGACGGGACAGGAAAAGATTTCCTCTGGGACTTTGCTCCTTTGGCAGAGAGCCTTCTGGCGCCCTACTGAGGCTGCCAGCACAGGCGAGGGGCCGCCCCTGGAACCCACCAGGCCTGGAGCTTGGCTGCCCGATCTCACCAGGAGGAGCAGCTCTCGACCCCCCATGTGGGTGGGGGACACACAGCACCCTTCCTCCCCACCCCCTAGGAGGGGCCGGAGCCCCGGGGCCACAGCACCCCACCTGCAGCTCCTTGTCTGAGTACTTCTGGGGGTTCTTGCTGCCTTGGCTCTTCTTGCGAAGCTTCTTCAGCTCCGCCTGGCACTTGTCCAGCGTGTCGCCCTTGCCCCGTTGTTCCGCCTGGTATTTCTTGAGTGCGGCCTGAGGTGCAAAGAGCAGTGCAAAGCACGTGAGCCCTCCGTGCCCAGCTCTCTCCACGGCTGCTGTGCCCAAGACCCATGGGATGGCAGCCAATGCTTGACTGCAAATCTGGGGGGCACTTGGTGGCCTGGGCCACCCCCGACAGCAACCCTCTGCTCCCCAGAGATGAAAACTGGGCCTGGGAAAACCAGGAACCTCACCCCCTTACCCCGCTGAGAGCCAGCCTTGTGTGAGCTGGTGTCGTAAACCCTGGCTGTTCTGGCCTGCGGGCTGGGAAGAGGCGAAGGGCAGGCGCAAAGGAGCCCACAGGTGACAGCAGGGGACCAGGAGTCCGTGCAGATGCACGGCTGCTCACACCATGTCAGTGCCTTTACCAAGAGCAGCTGAGCTGCAGGGATGCCAGACCCACACTGGGGCATCAGACATGATGGGCTCACCCACAGGATTGCACTCACGTGGGCGAGAATACCCCAGGGCCACAGGGAAGCCACTGGCTGGGAAGCTCCCAGGAAGCGAACACCCCCGGAGGACGGAGGACTTTCCACACCATCGGGAGAGCCCGAGCACTGCCAGGTGAGCAGCCAGGAGCGGACGGGGCAACTTACACTCAGGTACCTGGAGTCCAGCTCCACCTTCTGCTCCAGCTGCGTGAGCAGCTCGTTGTGAAAAGACTTCAGCTGGATGTGGAGAGAAACATCAGCAGTTCGTCAGCAGGAGCCCTGGACACTGGGCACCCCGTGTGAAGAAGGGCTCTGCCTGACCCACAAGCTGATGACCCCGCACGGACACGTGGGCCTCCGGGAGCAGACTCTGAACAGAAGCCTGGAATTCAGACTGTGTCGGCTTTGACAGCCATGGGGAAACCCTCCCCGCTGCCCCCTCTGCTCTCTGGTGCTGGAGAGTCACTCGGGCACAACTGACCCCAGCTATGGACCTGCACACTAACTGGGAGGGCCCTGAGTGACCCCTGGCATTAGGCCAGCAGGTCCTGGCTGGGCCGGTCATCAGGGGCCTCGTGCTCTGGACTCTCCACTCACTGCGCCCCTGAGCCTGAGACCTTCACTGGCCTGTGCCCTGTCCTCCCAGGCCCTTCAGTGTGTGCTTAGCCCCAAGGTGAGTCACCCTGCTGGGCCTGGGGTTTGTCCCCGCCCTTCTGAGAGCAGCCACGAGGCCATGCAGCGTTCCCAGGGGACGCAGGCCGCAGCACCGCCGGCTCTAGCCCTCGCCTCTCACCTGCCTGCCCGTCTGCATGTGTCCCTTCCCCCCAGAGGCCTACACAGGGGGCTGGGGCTCACCGTTTCTTCCAGCTGATTTTGAATCTGCCTGTGGACCTCAGCCATCTGAAAAAGGACGTCTCCTGGAAAGGTAGGACGGCGCAAAGAAGAGAAGGGGAGGGGAGTCAGGTGCTCTGAGTCACAGCGCCCCCCCCAACCAGGCCAGGCCCTGCGCTGCCGTCGTCTGGAGTGGCAGAAGGCTCATGCCCAGCAAGCAGTCACCCAGTGGGCAAGGGAGAGGAGTGCTTCTCCTGTGACACCCTGAGGCAGACGTGGAAAATTCTAGAACCAGGGACGTGGACCTCAAATGCATGATCATGTCAAGCCTTTGGGGGTGGTGGGGTGTAGGGTGTCCTCAAATGTCTGCATCAGAGCTTTGGGGGGGTGGGGTGCAGGGTGTCCTCAAATGTCTGCATCAGAGCTGAGGTTCATGACTAAAGCAAAAAGACTGGCAGACCCTGTTTGCACATATTCAGCCTATGTGTCAGCCTGTGAGCTCACACTCACAGATGCCAGCCATCAATGGCCCACCCACCTGGGGCCAGGCCACACCAGAGGGGGAACACACCTTCTTCAGGGGCTGTGTGGGGCATGCACAGTGACCCTCTCTGACCCCGAGGGAAGCAGGAAAGAGGCCTAGAGGCAGCAGGGCCTCTGGCCCCAGGCCTCACCTCCCAGCCAAGTGGGAACAAAGAGGAGACCGCACCCAGGCCGTGGGCCCGGCAGCGAGGGTGCCTACAGAGGCCAGCTCCCGGAGCCTGCAGGCCCGCCAGGGCACTCGACCCGGCCCCCGGGCATTTCCCCAGGCCTTCTCCCAGAGCAGCCACCTCAGGGACGTGGTGGTTCCTCGGTCCATTCACAGGAACAGGTCACCCAAGGCCATGTCAGCCCAGATGTCGGGGCTCCCGGGCCTTCACCTGCATGCTTCATGTTATGGGGGGCTGGCCTGATACTAGACTGAGGCCCCAGACACTCTGTAGGCACCACCAAATCTCAGTGTCCATACACCTCCTGGCCTCTACCACAGGGACAGAGACCAAAGAGCAGCAGGGGCGAGGCTTCCAAGGGGGGGAGGAGGAGCCCAGCCACAGCGCCTCCTTCTCCCAAAGCTCCTGGCTCCCACACAGCCATGACGCCAAAGCACGGCACCGGGGAGCTGCAGTGAGGCCTGTGCCTCGTGGCCAGTGGGGCTGAGGGAGCCCGGCTCCAGAAGCCCAGACAGCTGCAGGTGTGCGTGCAGCCTCACTGTGCCCCCAGGTGTGGACATGAAATGAGGGGTGCCCCACGGCCCAACCAGTCCTGCCCCCAGAGCCCAACACCCACCCCACATCAGCGCCCTGGACCAGGAACCCTGGCCCAGCAGCACCTGGCTCCCAGGACACTTGGGACTGCCCGCCCGCGCCTGCGGAGCTGGCGTGAAAGACCCCTGCGTCAGTCTGGGTAAACGGCTGTTTCCTGTCTGCAGAGGGAGGGGCTGGAATAGGCCATCCAGGACACGTGCATCTGATCAGCAAATATTTGCTGAGTGGCCATTTCCAGTGATAGGTGCTGACCACGTGCTGTGGACACAAATGGGGAAAAAGGCCTGTCCCTGTCTTTAGGCACAGTCACTTCCTGACAAACCCTGCTCCTAAGGTGCTGCCTAACCAGGACGCCAACCCTCGCTCACATCTGGGCCACCCAGGGTCACATGACCCAAAGGCCCTTCCAGGGGCAGCCACGAGAAGCACCCTGCCCCCAACCAGGCCAGCTAGAAACCAGAACAAGCTCCCATGGACCCTGCAGAAGGCCCTGTCGGGATGGTATGCCCTCCAAGACCAGGCCACTGGCCCTGAGGATGGTTGCCACCTGGGTCGCTTTCCCTCCCAGAGGCATAGGGGTCAGGGGGAGACCAACCTCTCCTGGTCATCTGGCCATTGCAAGCTGCCAGTGCTCCTAGCCTGATGCCCACGGGGCACAGGGGGCCTGACAAGACTGGGCACTTACAGATGGATCTCCTTCAATCGGCACAGCCGCCAGGTCCACCAGCCCACCTGGCAGGCCAGCAAGCTGGCAAGTGGCGTGGAGCTGGCCTGGCGCCCCACCCCCCGGGGCGCTCCCTACTGCCCTAGAGCCACTGGGCCACCCCTCTAGCCATGTGCCCGCCTGCCACTCCCAAGTGACTCCTGCTCAGTGCTGTTGACATGCAGATTTCAGTCAAGGGAGGAGGGGGAAGGGACACAAAGTTTCTCACCAGGCAGCTGGGACCAGGCTGCTGCCCGCCACAGGGACGTGCGTCCCACCCCAGGCCATGTGAGACCTAGCCACATGCTTCCTCCTGAGGAGACGGCGGGTGTGTGGGTATGCTGGCCACAGAGGGAGACTACACCCAGCTGGGGCAGCAAAGGAATGGAAGGCAGGTGGGTGGGGCACCATCCACGGTCACACCAGGTGAGAGTGTCACTGCAGAGGTGGGCTGGCAGGCAGGACAAGGGCGCCCAGTGCCTGTGTTTATATGTGTGCCTGTCACTGAGGGCCGGCAAGGGTGAGTGAGTGTGAACCGGAGCTCCCCTTAACCCTCCGGCAGCCGGGGCACTGCCATGGCTCTGGGCACGTGTGGCTTCAGGAGCTAGGTGGCCAGGCCATGACCATGTGGGCCATCCGGACCAGAACTCGGTTACGCGGGGTCTTGTCTCCAGACCACACTTGCCCACAAGCCTGGAGAGAGAGGGAGAGGGGGAAGACAGGTGAGCAGGGCCAGACTCTGGGAATTCCTGGTGAACGAACCATCGAATTCAAGGAAGCAAACACCTGCTAAGCTCCACGGCATGCTGGCACCTCCACGGCACTGACTGAGGCCCATCGGGGACAGAGTCCCGGAAGTTACCTCTGCTCTGGCCCCAAACACCAGCCTGACCTTGGGCCTGATGGTGCTGCAGGGATGGCACGGTGGGGGGGCACCTGGGAACAGGAAGGCCCCGCCCCTGCTGTAGCCCCTTGGTCGGGATGGGGCCGTGACCACACATGGTCAGTGGTCAACCACATGCTGAGGCGGGTGTGGAGGCTGCGCAGGCCCAGCACAAGAGGACACGGGTCTCCCTTGGCCTCTTCCGGCCCCGGCTCCATGCCTACCCAACCCCCACCTCAGGGGTCTGAGGGGCCAAGGGTGACAGGGCCAGAGGTGATATGAAGGTGCCCAGTCCCTCCCTTGACTGAAAGGAAGCCACTGGGACCCACTGGGGTGGGCGCCACCAAGGACAGCCCAGGACATAAGGCTGGGTGCTGCCACCATGTCCCACCCGATGCAGGCCCGGGCTCCCGCCAGCGCCGCGCACGAGGTGAGGCTCCCAGCACAGCCCACAGACTTCCCCTGCCCCCAGTCTGACGTGCACGGCAGGGACGCCATCCTGTGTGTCAAGAACAGCACATGCAGGGAATCCAGACCCAGGGGGCAGACTTCTAGGCGCTCAGGACCGGCCCAGAACCGCGGAGGGGCGGCTCCGGGCTCACGCTGCTTCTCGGCGCTCTCGGCTTTCCGTAAACGTCTCAGGACCCACACCCAGTGCTCCAAGCTCAGGAACCGCCTGTGGTCTCGTCTGTGTGCCTGGAACATGGGGTCTTCCATGTCGGAGTCCCTGGTCCACTTCCCAGCTCTGAGGCTGTGGGCTCTGGGAATCGGTTAAACCAAAGCCAAGGGGCGGTGGGGCCCACATGGGCGGCCTGGCTGGTGCGGGGGACCTTGGCCCCGTGTTTGGCCCTGTGGGCATCACCTTCACATGCCCACCCTTGGCCCTCTCAGCCCTCACAGGGCATCAGATCTATAAATAAGACCCGAAGCAGGCGATGGTGGCAGTGCTCACGCACGGTCAGCGCAGTCCCAACAGGGCCAGGGCCCGTGTCATAGGCCATGCTCATCAGTCCCCTGTTACCCCTTATAAGTTACTGTCAAGATCAAATTGAAAATATACATTTTCTTAAAAGGCTGCATGCCACTAGTTCCAGGAGAGCATGTGAAAAACAACGAATAGCAAATCCTTTAGAAAAGGAATTCCTGATGCAAAAGAGAGTACATGAAGCTTCCGGAGGAGAGCTCTCCGACTCTGCTGACACGCTCACACGCACCCCAGCATCTCCACCAGCTGCAGCCCACACCCTCGGAGGTGGGCCCAGCCCCCAGTCCCACAGCGACGCCGGTGGCGCACCACCGGGAACATGCAGCCAAGGCAGGCACACAGCTCTGGGCTGCAAGCCGGTGGCCGCACAAGCCGCCCACACAGTGGATTTTACAGGCAGCTGCAGGGAGCCACATGCACGTGAAGCGTGCGAGGTGGCGGTGTGAGCGTTTGCAAGCTACCAGCAGGCCCCGGACCCAGGAGAGCTGCCAGGTGCGCTGAGCTGGCTGCAGAACAGTCACCCTTGGCATGGCGACAAGGCTGTGCCCCAAAACAGGTTCTCCGAGGAGCAGACAACCTCAAGCCATCCTTTCCACGTCCCGGAGGGCGGGCTAGTGAGGTAGAGCCAACGAGCCAGCCAAGCTGGGGCTCCATGACCCCCTGCGCCCCTTCTCCCTCTCACAAAGGCAGGGTGACACAGGGATACCTCACGAGGGTCACCCTGCCCGGGAAGGAGCAGCCCGTGGGCTTTCTACCCAGCTCCCTCTGAATGACGACACCACAGCCCCTGGGAATCCAGGTCCCTGGTTCATAGCGCAGGTAGGCCCTAAACTCGAAAAACTGGGTTTAAAGTAGCAGCTCAGACTCAGCCTTGCCAGAGCAAACAGTGGATGAATGGGGTACCTCAGCCCCAAGAGCCACCGCTCGACAGACCGCCAGGGCTCCAGAGAATCAGCAGAGGGGGAGGAGGCAGAACGCGGCTACGCCCCTGGGCGCTGGCGGGAGTGCGACGGGAAGACAGTCTCCGCCACAGAGGGGCTTGTGCGCCAGGGAACCCTGGAGCCCAGTGGCTGGGCTGGGACTGGGGCTGGGGCCCAGGAAGTCACAGGGTGCAGAGGAGAATTCAGGAGTGGGGAAGGGATAAGGGCCATCACGAGTGGGGACAGAAGAGGAGACAGGGCACAGGAGGATGCCGCCAGGCTTCATCTGGG